AACTGTACTCCATAGGGTTTTCAATGGTTGATATTTTGGAAGCAAATTGCCTGGTGTTTCTTCCATATTAATTATAGAATAACATATAATGTATATACGATACGGAGCCCTGGTGGTGCAGTGGTTATGATCTTAACTGCTAACCAGAAAATCAGCATTTCGAATCCACTAGCCGCTCCTTGGAAACCCTATGGGGCGGTTTTACTCTGTCCTATGGGGTCAATATGAGTGGGAATCAACTCCATGGCAATAGATTTGGTTTAGTTTATATACTGTCTTCAACATCTAGTGCTGCTATAACAGATATACCACAAGTGGATGGCTTTAACAAAGAGAAATTTATTCTCTCTCAAGTCCAAATTCAGGGCATCAACTCCCGGGGGAAGGCTTTCTCTGTCAGCTCTGGAGGAAGGTCCTTGTTGTCAATCTTCCCCTGGACTAGGAGCTTCTCCACGAAGGAACCCTGGGTCCAAACGACGCGCTCTGCTCCCGGCGCGCTTTCTTAGTGATATGAGGTTCCCAGGTCTCGCTGCTTGCTTCTGTCTTTTATATCTCAAAGGAGATTGGCTTAGGACACTACCTAATCTTGTAGATCTCATCAATATAACTGCTACTAATCCATCTTATTACATTATAGTGTTAGAATATACAACACATAGGGAAATCACATCAGATGACAAACGGTAGACAATCATACAATACTGGGAATCATGACCTAGCCAAGTTGACACATATTTTGGGGGGACACAATTCAATCCATGACAGACACTATATAGATCATGATTTATATAGTATATCTATATATTAAGGAGCCCTAAAGTTTGTGAACCACTTGCCTAATATGTGGTTAAGGAGCCCTGGTGCTGCAACGAGCGCTTACTGAAAGGTGGGTGCTTCAAACCCACCCAGCAGCTCCACTGGAGAGAGTCCTGGCAATCTGCTTCCATAAAGATTACAGCCTAGGAAACCCTACGGGGCAGTTCTACTCTGTCACGTGGGGTTGCTATGAGTGGAAAATCAAAAATATGTGGTTACCGTGACATATCAAGGGCAGAGAGGTCAGAGTTGGAGGTGGGGAGTGTATTATTTATTTGTACAAAATTTAGAAACAATAATGTAACTTACTAACATCATGCCAATTCTAAACAATTTCATTAGGCAATATTCCTCTTTTCCTCCAAATTTTGTAGGTATAAATTTTAAATAATTGCCTACACCCAGAGAGGATTACTACCACACACACAATGGTTATTCACAATAGTTATTGTGTGTGGGTTTGTGTGTTTGGATGCCCCGTGGGCACCAAAAAGGAAGGAAACTTTTTCTTCTCAGGGTATTGAGGTTGCTGTATATCAATGAAATCTAAGTTATTGTTCCTTTTTTAGCGTTTCTTTCTACTTTCTTAGAGATGGTCAGAAAAGAATGAAAACCTTGTTTTCTTGTCATTGCTATTGTTTGTCTATTCTTCCATGTATTTCTAGTAGTTTCTGCTTGATCATTTTGCTGTTACTATTTGGGACATAAACACTATGGCTGGTGGATCTTATTTAAGGATTTCACTGTTTATAATTAAAAAAAAAACCCGAAAACCCAGACAAAACACAGAACAAACCCGATTCTGACTCGTAACAACATTATAGGACAGAGTAGAACTGCTCTATAGAGTTTCCTAGGAGCAGTTGGTGGATTCGAACTGCTGGTCTTTTGGTTAGCAGCCGAGCTCTTAACCACTGAGCCACCAGGGCTCCTCTTTATAATTATGCAGTCCTTAAAAAAAAATTTTGCTTCTAGTGAAAAGATCAGACTTAATGGTCTGACTGAGACTGGAGGAACCCCAGAAAGCATAGCCCCCAGACTCTCTGTCAGCCCAAAACTAAAACAATTTCTGAGGCCAACTCTTCAGACAAAGATTGGACTGGACCGTGGGACATAAAATGATACTCTTGAAGACCGTGCTTCCTAGCTCAAGTAGATACATGAGACTAAACGGGCAGAGAAGGCAGAGAGGGTTAGGAGCTGGTTGAATGGACATGAGAAATCAGGGGTAGAAAGGAGAAGTGTGCTGTCACAGTATAGGGAGAGCAATTAGGGTCACGGAACAATGTATGTATAAGTTTTTGTATAAGAGACTAACTTGAAATGTAAACTTTCACTTAAACCACAACAATAAACCAAAAAAAAAAAAATTTTGCCTAGAAGTCAAATTGTTTTTGATATTCATATTGTAAATTCTGCTTTTTTTCCCTATGTGTTTTTCCTAGACTGTGTTTGCTGATTATTTTAATATTAAATTAATTCATATCATGTTGTGTGGGTCTTTTGTATACAGCTTGTTGTTGTTGGGTGCCGTCAACCAGATTCTGACTCATGGCAACCCCATGTGTTACAGAGTAGAACTGCTCTGTAGGGTTTCCTAGGCTGTAATCTTTAGGGGAATAGATCAACAGGCCTTCCGCTTTGTAGCTTAGTGGGTTTGAATTGCCAAGCTTTTGATTAGCAGGTGAGTGCTTAATCATTGTGCCATGAGGCTCCTTGTATGCAAGAGTTGTGTTTTACTTTGTTACTGTCTGACAATTAGCTTTAAAAATCAATAAGTGCATTCCAGGAGTCTAGCAGGACTCATACAGTAATGGATGAGAATATGGAGGGTGGGGGGAATTTTCTTTACATGTAAAAGAGTTCAACTGAATCTGAGTCTTCACGAAATTCTTGGGTACTACACATCAGTTGTATCTGAAACCTGGTGTTTTTCTTTAAACTCTTTGTGGTTGTGGTCAGCTTCTATAAGTTAATGTGCGTGGATCCACCTTGCCTCACCAGCCCCAACTGATGCCATTGTGGCATTGAGAGGACTTTGGCCCTGGAAATGGCAATCCTTCTCTTGGAGCCTGTGTAAATGTCATGAGTTTTTGGAGTTTGTTGCTTTTATTATGTTCCCTGCCCGGTAATAACCAAGATCAAACCCACCTATAGAAGGCATAGAGATCAAGATAGGTAAGGCAACACTGTCATAGACATATCCTTTTGGATAGGAAATTATATATAATTATTAATTAATCATACATATTTCACATAGTATGCGAACATATATAAATAAATTTACATATTTAAATATATATGTGTACGTGTCATTGGAAGAAAATATACCAAAACATGAATGGTGGAATTATGGATACATTTCTATTTCTACTTTATATTTTTCTACTTTCCCCCTTAAATGCTAAAAACAGTATTTTCTTAAAATCTTGTTTGCTTTTCTCTTCTTTCCCACATCCACTCTGCTTAACTTTGCATCATATTGTATATGTCACTTGTCTTTTCTTATCTCTTTGTACTCATGGAATCCCCTCTATGTTTATACATCTACTCATATGGCCTGTTGACATGGGGCACTTAATAGGCTGTTTAAGCCTTGGCCATGAGGTTATGTTGTACATTTATGAGGATGAGTATATGTTGTTGTTAGTTGCTGTAGAGTTGATTTCAACTCATGGCGACCTCATGTGTTACATAGGAGAACCAAACTCCACAGGATTTTCTTGGCTGTATCTTTACAAAAGCAGATCACCTGGTCTTTCTTTGGCAGTACTGCTGGGTGGATTCAAACCACCACCTTTAGGTTAGCAGTTGAATGCAAACCATTCTCGCCACTTAGTGTTATTGATAGCATAAGCAACGTGTTAACAGTGCTTTTATTTGCAAATCACCTCCATTTCATTTTGTACTTAGTGCATTTTCCCCGTAACTCTGTGGCTGTGCCCTGCAATTCCTAGAAGGATGTGCAAATTCTGTTCATTGCTAATTAGCACATTTTACTGGTGATCGACCACTCAAACACATGGGAAGGCTAGTCAATGGTACATGTACTGGCTGGGTTGTTACTTAACAAGTTTACAAAAAAAAAAAGGCATGCATGAATACCAGGAACACAAAAATATAATCAAAATCCTCTATGCAACATAAGCAATTAATATATACTACCACTACCACCACCACCAATTGCCGTAGAGTCAATTCCAACTCGTGGCGACCCTAAGTGTGTAAGAGTAGAACTGTGCTCCATAGGTTTTCTTTTAAAAACATTTTTTTATTATACACACCAAAACATTCGCCAGCACAACTTCCACATTTACGATTCAATGATCATGATTCCATTTTTCATGTTATGCCACCATTATCTCTATCCTTTTCCAAAATATTGCATTAAGATAAACACAGTACCCCCAAATAATCCCTCCCATTCCTCTCCCCCCCACCGGTAACCATTAATCTTTGGTTTCTATATATTTGCTTATTTCATAAGTGGGTTCATACAGTATTTGTCCTTTTGTGTCCACAGAGTTTTCAAGGGCTGATTGGAAGTGGATCTCCAGGCCTTTCTTTCAAGGCAATTCTGGGTAGACTCCAGCCTCCAACCTTTTGGTTAGCAGCTGAGCACGTTCACCATTTGCACCACCCAGGGACTGCAATTCGCATATACAGAAGCAAAATACACCAAGATACTCTACACACTACAGCAGTGGTTCTCAAACTTTCTGAAGCATCAGAATATCATGAGATTGCTTGGTCTTATCCACAGAGTTTGTTTCAGTAGGTCTGAAGTGAGACCCAAGAATTTGCATTTCTAGTGGGTTCTCCACTAATGCTACTGCTGCTTGTTTAGACACAACTTTTCAAAAGCACGGCGTTAGAGAATGAAAAGCACCGCGTTAGAGAATGAAAAGCACCATTATAGTTTTGTAGGAGAGAAGGACACTTGCCAGCCTGAGCTGTGGGACTGAGGTGCCTGCAGCAGGGTTAGAATAAATGTTTCCCCATAGTAAATGTGTCTGTTTGAGCTTTCGTCCTGGGCTGCTTTTCTCTCAATCTCTAGGTAGAGCTCAGAATTTTCTTTCCACAGAGGAAGTGGTCATGAGTAAGGCGCTCAAAAAAATCTATGCAGAGGAGTCTTCCTCTTATTCCCCATGAAGGATCATTTCCAATGACTCTGTGCTCAGTGACTAGGAAGTCTCTGCCTTTCTCAACAGTGCCTTGAAGATGTCATCGTGCATGTAGAAGAAGATGTACCCGTTGCAACACCTATCCTTCTGCATACTGGCCTCTTGGATCTGCAAGGCTTTGAGATCATCGTACATGAACCAGGCCTTCTTTGCAAAGTCATAGACGTCACTGATGTAGTGACCTGAGTATGGGGAGCTCCCAACATGGCTGACAACACTGATAAGCCTGTAGGCATGACGAGGATCCCCTGTTGCGGCATTTCTGTTTGGTTCCTCAGCCTTAGCTTCTGTGTTCTCCATACCTAAGATGCCTTTGTTTCCAGGGTTCTCACCAGAACCCAATGCTCTGAGGGAATTCAGGCTATCCTCCAGCAAACTTAACTCTGTAGATCTACTGAGGTCTTCGTCTGTGTGTTCCTGGGTGTCAGGCTTCCTGAGGCTTTGAAGCAGTGCCCTTTGGAGCTGCTCAACCACTCCTTGAGATCCTTCTGGAATCTTGTTTTCTTTATCCTCATAAAAATCTTCAGTAGACTGAGTGACACTGTCAGAATCTATCTTTACAGATGCTTTTGTTGTCTGGTGTGTCTTAAATGCTGGGCTTTCAGGCACCTCTTGAAGACGAGCCTCTACGAGACCTGCTACTGGGCTGCTGATGAGTTTACCTCCATGTTCACAGATCACTGAAAGAGAGGTGTCTTCCCAATAAATCACTGAGTCAGCTGCTGGCCGCTCCGTCTCACTGGCTGGCCCATCCCTTGAGTTGACCAATATGGACTCTGTTATATTTAGTTTGGAGCTGTTTTCTGGATCTCTCTGCTGCTGTTCTTGGCTTGACCCTTCAGAGAGTCTCTGGCATTTTTGTGGTTCAGCATCCTTGTCTGATCCAATGCGTGGAACCAGGAAATCCTTGGACGCCGAGGTCGATGTCATTGGAGGTGTCCATGAGTTGATTGTCCCAGAAATCATGTCTTGAGAGACTTTAAGGACTTGAGGGTCCTCAATATGTGCATTACCGCCCAAGGGAACAGGTGGTTTGGTATTTTCATTGCAATGGGGGGATAAGCTTAAATATATGGGAATACCAACTTGCTGATGATCCTTCACCAAAAACCAAAAATCATTAAAGCTATAGCGCTTCAGATGAACAATAAGGATCCTGGGTAGCCTACTGAATTTGTGCATTGCAACAGAACTCTTGTGCCTGCACTTCTCACAGTTATATTCAATTTCTTCTGCTCTAAAAAAAAGATCAAAAGAATATTGAATAGACGAAGGGAGTGATTGTGTTTCTTGGGAAAGGTTGATGGAGAGATAATTGCTCAGTTCTGTCTTGTAAACTACCTCACCACAGGCTTTACAGATGATGGAGCGCTGTAACTCAAACTCAAAATTTGCGACCACAGGACAAACAAACACTTTGGTGGAAGCATTAGCAGCAGAAATCTGTGGGTGGGAAATTTCTTCACCAGTTTCCCTCCTTGTCTTATAAGTGATGTTTAGTTTTTCCATGTCCTCTTTCATCTGATCTAAACACTGGCTTAAAAACTCATGAGCATCATTCTGCATGTTGCCGGAGAATATGGTTGCAACCGAGGAAATGGAGTTTTTAATATTGACGAGTAACTCTCTCTTCGTCTCTGTGTTACAAAGATCTTTCAAAACAAGCAGCTGGCTGAAGCACATGATAAGAGCATCTAAGGGAATTTTCTCCCAGGGGATTCCTTGGTTGAGTAAGTCATCAGCAAATGATGGAACTGCAAATAGTGACTGTAAAATTGCATTCATATAACAGGTATTTCCCAAATTGGGGAAGCCCCGCCATTGTTGCTCTGGGTAAGAGTTAGAGGGCACCTGAGATTCATTCCGTCCTGGCTCATTCTGCCTACAATTTGGTTCTGATGAAAGTGCCAAACTTCCTTCAGCAGAGAGATGCTGAGTTAAAAGAATATTTTCATCTAGGTTAGGGTTTCCGGTAGAGCTGGTGTAGAATGAAGGTTCAAGTTCCGATTTAATATACTTTTCTTGATTTTCTAAACTCAATGGTTCTTTCCTGTTGCTGCTGACACATTTCAAGGGGTCTGTCTTGGATTTCTTGTTTAGTACAGGGTTATTCTTTTTCAGGAAGTCCTCATGCATTTCTAGGTCAGATGACGGCATTCTTTTCCTCTTGCCACCTGGATTTTCTAATAAACCTGTCCCAACAAGTGTCGATGATTTGGACATTAACGAAGGCATTTCTTGAAGAACAGATGTTCCACTTCCATTTTCTAGACTAAAGGATCCATTACTTGGCCTGTCACAAACTTTGTGAAAGGGGATTTTGTCGCTTTGCTCCTGTGTTTTCCCGCCACCAAGGATACTCCATTTATGGCCAGGTTTCATGGGTGGTTGAGATATCTTTTGGTGGACTCTGTCCAGAAACTTCTTCAACTTCTCAGCATCTCTACAGGATAATTTGTCAATGAACAAGGAGCAATTGTTTTGGATAGTTAAATGCAGGCTACTTTGTTCTTCTCCGGAGTGCCTAAGGTCCATTCTTATAGTATTATTACTTAGCTGGAAAACCTTTACTTGTCTTCCAGAGTTGAAAATGACCACCAGTCTACTTTCTTTCTCTCCTTTCACCATTTTAATCAATGCTTCTTTCGGGTTGGTCATCCCAGTCCTTTTGCTCCAAGTTTGGACAAGACCTCGTATCTTTGGAGAAGTCATCCTTTCTTCACAAATAAAACACACGTAACCTAAAGAAAACATACACACACACACACATAAGGTTTAGCCCAAAACATATTATCATTGATATTTTATGGAGAAGCTCCATGTAATAATAATTTAAGGAGCCCTGGTGGCACAACAGTTAAGCAGTTTTGTAGTTTTACAGGAACCCTGCTTGTTCATTCGATTATTTCAAAATCTTGCCCCAACCTCCCTTTACCATTTTATATGCCAACAATTCCTTCTTTAAGGTCATACTGTCTTCGGTCTCCTTATGGGAGCAGATCGCCAGGCCTTTATTTGTGGTGCTACTGGGTGGGTTCAAACAACCAACCATTAGGGATCTGTCTTTGCTCCAGGTCCCACTAACTAGCTGGCACACTAGTTCACCCAGAGCTCTCCCAATCCATATCTTTGCCTATCCTTCTGACACTGGTGTCTTAGGCTAGGTTCTCTAGAGAAGTAAAACCAGTGAAGTGTGTATATATATATATATACATACCTGTATATGTATATATGTATATGTATGTATGTATGTAGAGAGAGAGATGGTGGGGGGAAATGGCTCATGCAGGTGTTGGTTCAAGAGGGTGTTAGGGGTTGGAAAGTCTCAAATCTGTGGGTCAGGCTGGAGGCTTCTCCTGACTCACGTAGCTGCAGGGGCTGGTGAACTTAAGATCAGAAGGTCAGACAACAGGCCGCTGGCTCACAGGCTGTGGAAGCTGATGGATCCCAAGATGGGCATGCTAGCTGCGAGCTCAAGTCCGAAGAACCGGAGGTCAGAAGAACAGGAGCCAGCTGCAGGATCCACAGTGAGCAAAAGCCCACAAGCTTTGCCAGAAAGTCCACCTACATTGGATGCAGGCCACACTGCCAAGGAAACTCCCTTTCAACTGATTAGCTGCTCACAATAGACCTCATCATGGAGGTGATTACATTATATCAGATCTCATTATGGAGGTGATTACATTATTACACAGCTGCCAAACCACTGAGAATCATGGCACAGCAAAGTTGACACACAACCTTAATCATCACAAGTGCTAAGATATTTAATCAGTCAGTACATAGCATCCTACTGGAATATCCCTTTCCTCAATCATCCCTACCCTGTAACTGGAGATGAGTCAACATTTCCCTCAGTGTTTGGAATGTATGGCTGAATGGTTGGTAGTTGAAGGAAACTGGAATACAGTGAGGAAGAATAAGTAAGGAGGGGTAAAGGCTGGGCATGCAACCAGCCATGTCAACACAGGAACTAAGGAAGCTTCTCCAGGAAAATAAACTTCTGTTTGCCAGAAGGTGAGGGCACAAAGCCACATTCATTTCTGAATCAGGGAACCGTTTGAGCAAAGACACGGATTTTGAGAACTCACGGTGAGCTGATGTGCCAAATAATTAGTAAAATTAAGAGAGAGGTGGAAAGATGGAGAATGAAACAAATATTCAGAACCGCATTGCCATCGAGTCCATTCTGACTCCTAGTGACCCTCTAGAACAGAGTAGAACTGTCCTATAGGGTTTCCAAGGTCATAAATCTTTACAGAAGCAGACTGCCACGTCTTTCTCCCACAGAGTAGCTGGTGGGTTCAAACCATTGACCTTTCAGTTAGCAGCCAGGCACTTAACCACTGTGCCACCAGGGCTTGAAACATGAAGAGGGAGAAACAAATTTCAAAACAGAGAGAGGTTTCAGAAATAATAATTTTGGGGCATCTATACAAAGCCAACAGCCAACATCATTCATAATGGGAAGAGGCTGAAAACATTCTCCCTAGAACAGGAACAAGACAAAACCAAACCAAAAACCAAACTTGTTGCCATCGAGTCATTTCAACTCATAGCGACCCTATAGGACAGAGTAGAACTGCCCCATAGAGTATCCAAGAAATGGCTGGTGGATTCGAACTGCTCTACCTTTTGGTTAGCAGCTGAGCTCTTAACCACTGTGCAACCAGGGCTCCATGGAACAATACAAGGATGTCCTTTATCACCACACCTGTTTACAATTGTGCTGGAAGTCCTAGCTAGAACAATAAGGCAAGGAAAAAAAAAAGAGCATCCAAATTGGTAAGGAAGAAGTAAAACTGTCCCTATTTGCGGATAATATGATACTATATGTAGAGAACCCAAAAGATTCCACAAGAAAACTGCTGGAACTAATAGAAAGATTCAGCAGAATAGCAGGATACAAGATAAATATACAAAAATCAGCTGGATCCCTATATATTAATAAAGAGAACTACGAAAAGGAAATCAGGAAAGCAATAGCGTTTATAATAGCCCCTAAAAAAATAAAATACTTAGGAATAAATCTAACCAGGGATGTAAAAGACCTATACAAAGAAAACTACAAACACTACTGCAAGAAACCAAATAAGACCTACATTAATGGAAAAACATACCATGGTCATGGATAGGTAGATTCAACATTGTGAAATGTCAATTGTACCCAAAGCAATCTACAAGTACAATGCAGTCCTGATCCAAATACCAACAGCATTTTTTAATGAGATGGAAAAACTAACTGTAATTATTAACTTTATATGGAAAGGGAAGAGGCCCCTGATAAGTAAAGCACTATTGATGAGAAAGAATAAAGTAGGAGGACACATACTACCTGACCTCAGAACCTCCTATACAGCTACGGTAGTCAAAACAGACTGGTACTGGTACGAGGACAGACACATTGACCAACGGAATAGAATTGAGAACTCAGATGTAAATCCATTCACCTACGGTCACCTGATTTCCAGAGGCCCAAAGCCCATTAAATGGGCAAAAGACAATCTTTTTAACAAATGGTGCTGGCAAAACTGGATGTCCATCTGTAAAAAAAAGAAACAGGACCCACACCTCACACCATATACAAAAACTAATTCAAAATGGATCAAAGACTTAAATATAAAATCAAAAACTATAAATATCATAGAAGAAAAAATAGGGTCAACACCAGAAGCCCTAATACGTGGTATACGTAGAATACAAACCATAACTAATAATATACAAACACCAGAAGATAAGCTAGATAACTAGGATCTTCTAAAAATTAAACACTTAGGCTCATCAAAAGACTTCACCAAAAGAGTAAAAAGAGAGCCTACAGACTGGGAAAAAAATTTTGGCTATGACAAATCTAACAAAGGTCTAATCTCTAAAATCTACAGGAAAATGCAATACCTTGACAACAAAAAGACAAATAATCCAATTAAAAAATGAGCAAAGGGTGTGAACAAGACACTTCACCAAAGAAGACATTCAGGGGGCTAACAGACACATGAGGAAATGCTCACTATCACTAGACATTAGAGAAATGCAAATCAAAACTACAAGATAATCCCATCTCACCCCAACATTACAAACAGAAAATAACAAATGTTGGAGAGGCTTCGGGCAGCTGGAACTCTGATGCACTGCTGGTGGGATGTAAAATGGTACAACCATTTTGGAAAATGATATGGCACCTCCTTAAAAAGCTAGAAATAAAAATACCATATGATCCAGCAATCCCATTCCTAGGAATATATCCTAGAGAAACAAGAGCTGTCACATGAATAGACATATGTACACCCATGTTCACTGCAGCATTATTCACAATAGCAAAAAGATGGAAACAACCTAGGTGCCCATCAACACATGAATGGATAAACAAACTATGGTACATACACACAACGGAATACTACCCAACAATAAAGAACAACAATGAATCTGTGAAACATCTCACATCTTGGATGAATCTGGAGGGCATTATGCTGAATGAAATAAGTCAATCACAAAAGGAGAAATACTGTATGAGACAATGTCTTAGTCATCTAGCGCCACTATAACAGAAATACCACAAGTGGATGGCTTTAGCAAAGAGAAGTTTATCTCCTCACAGTCAAGTAGGCTAAAAGTCCAAATTCAGGGCATCACTCCAGGGTAAAGCTTTGTCTCTCAGCAATGTTCCCCAGGACTAGGAGCTTCTCTGCGTAGGGACCCCAGGTCCGAAGGACGCGCTCTGCTCGCGGCACTGATTTCTTGATGGTATGAGGTCCCTCTGTCTCTCTGCTCACTTGTCCCTTTTGTATCTCAAGAGATTGCCTCAGGACACAATCCAGCCTTGTAGACTGAGTCCTGCCTTACTAACACAACTGCCACCCATCCTCCCTCATTAACATCATAGAGGCAGAATTTACAAAATATAGGAAAATCACACAATACCAGGAATCATGGCCCAGCCAACTTGATACACACATTTTTTGGGGGACATAATTCAATCCATGACAGACCACCATTATAAAAACTCATGAAAGGGTTTATACACAGTAAGAAACAATCTTTGATGATTACAAGGGAGGGAAGCAGGGGAGGGAAAAACATTAACCAGTCAATAGATAAGTGTAACTTTGGTGAAGGGTCAGACAGTACACAATACTGAGGAAGCCAGCACAACTTGACCAAGGCAAGGTCATGGAAACTCTATAGACACATCCAAACTCCCTGAGGGACAGAATTATTGGCCTGAGGGCTGGGGACCATGGTCTCAGGGGACTTCTAGCTCAACTGGATAACACAGTTTATAAAGAAAATGTTCTATATCCTATTTTAGTGAGTAGCGTCTGGGGTCTTAAAAGCTTGTGAGCGGCTATCTAAGATATTCCACTGGTCCCACCCCATCCCCATCTGGAGCAAGGGAGAATGAAGAAAACCAAAGACACAAGGAAAGACTAGTCCAAAGGACTAATGGACCGCAACTACCACAGCTCCCACCAGACTGAGTCCAGCACAACTAGATGGTGCCCAGCTACCACCACCGACTGCTCTGAAAGGGATCACATTAGAGAGTCCTGGACAGAGCTGGAGATGTAGAACAAAATTTTAACTTACAGGCAAAAAAAACACCAGCCTTATTGGTCTGACAGAGACCGGAGGAACCCCGAGAGTGTGGCTCCTGGACGCTATATATATAAATTTTTTAATTGTGCTTTAGGTGAATGTTTGCAGCTCAAGTTAGT